ATCTAGAAGTCCTGAATTTGAACCGTGGCTTAGTCATGAATGAAAAGTTCCATACAAGGATGAAAAAGCATCTTATGATATCCCTTGGTTTCCATTTGCTATCTAATTGATGTTGCCTCAAGATGAAATCTGACGTTTGAATTCTATCTAGTGGTTGAATACTAGCGTGTTCATAGCAAGAACAAGTATTTTCAGTGCCGATTTTGCATTACAACACAGTTTAAACTCTATTGATAAGCCTCTGAGCTACTTATGTCACAGTTTTATCGGAATCCTAATTATTATCTGCATGTTTTATGAACTGTTCAACAGCCATAATATCACAGCTGAAGGATTAGCGTAAGTTGTTAATTTATTTATACGTTAAAACATGTCAAAACAATTCATCATAGTATTTGTTTCGATTCAACCAACTTATAAACTTTTCTAGACAGAACCTACCTACCTCTACAGCTTGTATGATGATGCATGTATTCTAAACGTTATTCTATTAAAGTCCCTGGCTTCTTATACCTTTTGCGAGTTATTTGTTGCCGCACGAAATCTCAAAGCAAGGCCTACTTCGTATCTGATTCACATTTTGTCAAGATAGACAAGTTTCTTTCCTAGGCGTGAAATCATCAAACGTGCATGCATTGGCGTAGCGACCTGATTGGACAGATTTTGACTCGTTTATTTATCAAAAACAATCAGCCCCTTTGATAAATTTGAATGAGACATTTAGAAGAGAAATTTCGCGAGATGATATCGTCATTTCGTAGTCGTTTCTTTGCAACCTCTTTACACAACTAACATGGATCCCATTAGTAAAATAAAATAAAATAGAATGCATGACAATTACTCAGTTGTGATAAATAAAACAAAAGTGCATACTAATGACGAATCATATATTTAAATAGGTCGAGCAGTCAGTTCATGGTAGGCAACGGGGAGCCATCTTGGTCACCTAATAGCAGATATATATTCATGTCAAAATTGGAGAAACAAACGCAAGGTATATTTTGAGAATTTATGCTATATAAACGTTCCGTGGATGATACACTCACTATTGGCAGTAATAGTAAGTCTATTGGAAACCTTATCACCCTATTTAATAATATCCATCCGAATATCCGAGTGACTTCCGAACTCGAATTGAATAACAAACTCGGTTTCCTGGATATAACAATGACCAGTAGCGACGATGGAACGATTAGGCGATCTATTTTTCATAAGCAGATATAGAGTGGACAATATCTTCACTTCACCAGTTTTGTTCCTATCCAATGTAAATGTTCCCTAGTGAACAATTTGTTTTCAAGGGATAGCAAAACATGTACAAGCGACATATTGATGGATGAACTTCGACATATACATTCAGTTTTATTAGCTAATGGTTATCCAGAAACCTTTATCAGTTGTCACAGTAAGGATAGACCGCATACTGAAAAGACGGCTTATGTACCAAAGAAAGCTATCTTTATTAGCCTGCCACAATTCAAGGGTGACAAAATGAAGCAGTTGACAGCTAGCTCAGAGACTTCGGTCAGCTATCAAACACACATTTTTCACCGTATCTCTTTCCCTCACATCTCGAACATTTTCGATCCCTGTACCTACAATTAAAGGACGAAAGTCTCTTTTGATTCCCAGAGGAACACAGGGTTTGAGCCGAACGTCTCCATGGAGTTCGGATCTCTGCCAGCGTTTTGATCTCCTCTTCACATGACCTCTTCCATATCATGCTCACTCTGGCGATCAACTCACCGTTTTCCACTCAGGTTCCAATCGAACAATGGTACGGTGTGTGATGTCACTCACTTGATGGTTTGTTTCCTCAGAGTATGGCTACCAATCCACCTGCATTTCTCCCTGCATATTTCTTGCACAGTTGGATCCTGATGGATTAGTTCGTTCATTGTCAGAAATCCCTCCATGTTGCTGATATTTTCTGACCAGTCATCTAATCTTGAGTAGTAGTGAGAGAAGACAGCTGTTGATGAAGGTCTGTAGTTTGAAGTTGTTCTAAGTGGCTTTCGTGACGCAGCGTAGCGCCAAGTCTCTGATCCGTATAGTAAGTAGCACTGACTTCACACTGGAGTTGAAAATCCAGATCCTATTTTTCATGCTGAGCAATGCTGTCGCTCTCCACACATACTTGAGAGAAATGAAAGCTGTCCTTGCTTTCTTGATCCTCGCTTTGACAGCCTCAACAATTCCTCCGCCTGTAGTTGAATCGATGCATACCAATTACGTCCGTTGTTGTTGCTAATGCTGTTGCCCAGGGATCTTCATCGTCACCTCTTTTTTCTCTATGTTCACCTGAAAACTTATCTCCTCTGGATGCTTCTACTATCGCCAACTTGTTGCTTTTCACTTCCATATCTTCCAGTTTATGGGATACTTGTAGAATATCAGTATCATCAAATTAATCGTTGAAAGCCTTCATTGTTGATGCTGAGACCACCAGAGATAGTCTTGAGTTGATAGACTAAATTTCATGTATGGTGTAATGATTCAAGTTGAACTGATCCTCCAAGTCGCGGCAGAATTTTGACCAAACACCTCTAAACTGTTAGTCGCGCCATCTATCTATCCACTAGTTAAGCTTTATTGATGACATCTTATAAAATTACACTTCCCACTTCTTTCGTCATCTTATATTTGTCATTCAACTAGATTTCTTGATTTCTTGACTTTTCTTATGACAGTAAAATAATCAAAGTACTCAAGTAAGACTGAAGTGGCATTTGATTTTTATATTTATAATATTTTTAAAACTAAAAGTGAAATAAACGTTTTAAACAAAATAAGTTGCTCTCCGGGCTGAAGTGTTCTAGTTAAAGAATGCTTTGAATGCTGTGTTCGAGTTCCAGTGCGAATGCAATAACTCTCCATGGGCTGAAGATACATACGTCCAGATGATCTGCCCCAAATAAAAACGAAACGCACATCTTGGATACCACTGCCAGTCATCATTTATCAAATAGCTCTAAAAATATTATTGATAACTGTGATCTCACTTCATATCCCACCCCCACCCCCATACAGCTTCTAATTATTCTCTAACTCTTGTCATTAATTATTCTGTCAACTGACTCACACACAGTATTAAATCTGTTTGTTCATGATACTGATGAAAATGAAGTAACTCTAAACTATAGCAGCCCAAACCGAAACTACCCAGTGAACGGACAAATGACCTTGACAAGGACATCCTAGACCAATCAGAAGGCTCTATAAAACGGCGCATAATTATAATAAATCATTTACATAGAAGTAATGCAATGTTAAAAAATAGTTACAAAGGATAACTTTAGCGTATATGTTCCGAAAAAACCTCCCAATTTCTCATAAGAGTCTTGATACTTATGTTAAACCAAGTCCTGTACATAAACTCATCGAGATAACTGTATATCACTGCATTTCTTGATCCAATCACAGATCTCATCCGTTTTTTGAGGTGACTCCAAAAACTTTCGATGGAATTAGTGTGAGTTCCATCGAAAGGATTGATGAAATCATTTCATGGTTGACGACTTGATGATTATAGCCCAGAGTTGATAACTGACCATAACCACCTCATTCATCAGTATGCATAGTTGTACCAGGCAGCACTAAACGCTGGATAATAGGCAATAATACATCTGTGCTGTGATTAGGGATCACCTCAATGTATCCTTTCTGAAGACTGTTGTCATATATCCCCAATAGCCGCGGCTGATTTGCACTTAATCTCCCTCGATTATATTTTCTTTTGATCAAAACCGTCTCATCCACGTGAGCAATAACTCCAACTCCGCCAAGTACTTGCTTGAGTCAGCCTGTTCATTTTCCACGATGATAGGTGTCTGCAGTACTGCTACCATTGCACTGCAGATATTTCCGAATTTTCTGTTTCATACGCTGTTGCTGTTACTGATCTTTTTCAGTACCCAGAAGCGACACATCATTAAAATTTTCGTTAAAGTTAATTTGAACTTTAAAAAAAGTACCTGAGGAATCTGTAAACTAAAAAAGAACGACATAGCTTCTCGAACTGATTTTCTGGTTCGGCACCCACTACACCTGTAAACAAACCCATCAATGCACCTAGTGTATCTTCGCATACTCATGACACCTCCACATTGACAATTTTTCGATCTTCCTATCAGTCAGTAATCCAAAAAGTAATCAAAAACAAGATCTGGTGCGCATTTGCAACGCAAAAGGTGTAGAGCCTCTATAATTACGTCTGGATAACACGGGGTCACCTGGTCGGTTGCTCAAGGTCATTTGTACGTTCGCTAGGTAGTTTCACTTTGGGCTGCTATAGTCTACAGTTACCGAAAATGACTGAAAAAAAACAAAATTAACTGTCTCTAACAACTGATGAAGTCATTATTACTCCGTACACTGAATACATGCCATTCTGTCGTCTTTGTCTTATCTTATGCTAGTGTAGGCTACTAGTCATGGTATTTATTTCTGTGCAACTAACTCTATACCAGCCTTATTAAACTCAGTATGATGAGTGCATATACCAGTTCACCTGCTGCTGTGGAGCCAGGTACATCGGTCGTTCGACGCGCATCCTGTCCAAGAGAATTCAAGAACATTATCCAGCATGGTTGCGAAAAGGCAATACTGGTGCAATAAGGAGTGCGATAATTGAACACCTGGTCAACACTGATCATTGCATTTCAACGAACGCCTCCTTCAAAGTAATCTACAGAGTCAAGAATAACATATCAAAGGCAATACGGTTTCGTCTCCTTTGCATCGCTGAAGCTCTGGCCATTCACATGGAAAAACCGGAGCTGTGCATACAAAAGAAGATTACTCAACCACTTCTACTCTCATGGTAACAATGTTTTGATTTGTTTTGAGCTTTTATTTTATTTTGATGACTTAATTTTGTTTCTTCGCCTGTTCCTTAATTGCTTATAATTCTTGTATTCACTTAAATCTCTTACATAGTTTCGTATTATCTACTTTGTTTCTATGTGCATCCTGAGTAAAACTCACTCATCAAACTATTCATATTATTATTGCATAACTTCTTTTAACAACTGTTTGTGACAACTCATCACCTTTGTTACTACCCTAGCACTTAATGGTCTTGACTTATATTACCAACCTTTACCTGTTTAGTTAAAATAACCTTAAGCAATTATAATTCTTGTATCCACTTAGATCTCTTACATAGTTTCGCATTATCTACTTTGTTTCTATGTGCATCCTGAGTAAAACTCACTATTATTATTACAACTGTTTGTGACAACTCATCATTTTTTTACTACCCTAGTTTCATTAGCACTTAATTTTCTTGACCTGTATTACCATCCTCCACTTGTTTAGTTAAAAGTAACCTTAACCAATCGTAACTTTGTTTGACAAACTTAATGTACACATACATACAAAACAATGCATATATATTTGCGATTGTACAGCTAAGAAAATGAATTCGCCGAAAAGAGACTCTTCGCTGATCTACGTGTTTTGTTTTCATTAATGCCTGGATGGGGATTATCCATGAATTGAAACGTAGCAAGGACCCCTCGACAGTCAAGGAACTCAATGGGTTTCTGCGGTACTCTGTCAAGCTTGCTGTGGGGAAAGCGAAAGTTGGCTTTTTCGAGGATTGCGTCTCCAATCATCAGTATCCAAAGTGGTTCTGGAAAGCACTGCGACGCAATCATATATATCCAAATACGAAGTCCCTTCAACGCCATGCAATGAATTGTGCTGATTCTATCAGATCACGTATGCCCGAACTGCAGCGGAATATCAATCAGAGGTCCTCTGCCTTATACGAATTGACTTCGGATGAACGTCAAAGATTCACCGAATATATCGACTTGGTTGCGAATAAACGGTCGCAGTCTGTCGTAACCCAGCTCAACAACAGCCTTAAGCAGATGAAACCTCAAGGCAAATTTCCTGACGAACCCACGAAGTTTGTGTTCAATTATTCCTCAGTACACTTAACCGACGTGCAACTGGAAGTCCTATCTCTGGGCCCTAAATTCTGCGATATAAATTTCAACTCCGACAAACTCCATACTCAGGTCCAGTTTGAAAATCTAATCAGCCAAACGCACGATCTCAGCCCAACTTCTGAAGACGAATTACAGAGATTCAAGTCAACAATCATGGACTGCTGCCACCAATACTTGAATTCAAAATCAAAAGTCCGCAACCACCTAACGAAGCGGCACCGAGAGGAATTAAAACAGCTGAGAGATAACAAAGATCTACTTATAACTCGACCCGACAAGGGTGCGGGTGTAGTGCTTCTGAATCGAAGAGACTACATCGAGAAAATGAACGATATACTGTCGAATGAAGACAAATTTTCCCAACCTTCCAATGAAAGAAACAAGACGGAACAGATTGAGAAGCAGCTCACAGATGTCTTGAAGAGAATGAAGGCTAGTCAACTAATCAGTGGGGATATCTACGATCAGATCCGGCCAACAGGTTCAATAATACCAAGACTTTATGGTCTACCAAAGGTACACAAGGTTGGTCTCCCACTTCGTCCAATTCTGGATATGTCAGGTTCCCCTTACCACTCTATTGCACAATGGCTAGCAGATATTCTGGAACCTGTAAGGAAGCAATTATGTACGTACTCGCTCCGTGACACCTTCCAGTTCATCGAGTGCATACAAGACACGAATGTATCTAACAAAATTATGCTGTCCTTCGACATCGAGTCACTTTTCACCAATGTCCCACTCACAGAAACGGTCTGCTTCATATGCAGATATATAGATGACAACCACCTCGATATTGGAATACCGACAACATACTTGAAAGAACTATTATTGAGATGCACTCTGAACGTCCAGTTCACATTCAACGACACCATCTACAGACAAAAGGATGGTATTGCAATGGGATCTCCGTTGGGTCCACTACTATCAGATTGCTTCGTGGCAAGCCTCGAGAGAGGTTCACTAAAGCCAAGCATCGACAATTTGCGACTGTATAAAAGATACGTGGATGACATTTTCATTATTTGTGACAACAACAACGACCCCAATCTGCTGCTGAAGACATTTAACAATTGCCATCCAGCAATAAAATTCACTCTTGAAATGGAAAACGAGTCAAAAATTCCGTTTCTTGATGTGGAACTGACAAGAAGAGCTGATGGGAGCCTAAGAAGATCAATCCATAGAAAACCTACGTGGAATGGTCAACTAACAAGCTTCTATAGCTGGGTGCCCATTCAACAAAAGCGAAACTTAATTAAATCACTTGCTACCCGCATCCGACGCATCTGTAGTCCCGACGTTCTGGAAACAGAATTAGATATTCTGAGAGAAATATTCATCCAAAATGGATACCCAATAAGATTTATCGACAAAAATATGAAACCAATAATTCGGAAAAACGAAACTTTAACTGTGCCTAAAAAGAAAATCTACATGAATTTGGATTTCAAGGGAGATTTAGCAAGCGATATTCTCAAGAGAAGGATCACATCATCTCTGAGAAGAACGTTCTTTGCAGCAACGCTACGAATAGTGTTCTCCAGTCGCCCACTGATCTGCAGAAGCCTCAAGGACAAGATCCCGCATCTGGCCACTTCTATGTGCATATACCAGTTCACCTGCTGCTGTGGAGCCAGGTACATCGGTCGTTCGACGCGCATCCTGTCCAAGAGAATTCAAGAACATTATCCAGCATGGTTGCGAAAAGGCAATACTGGTGCAATAAGGAGTGCGATAATTGAACACCTGGTCAACACTGATCATTGCATTTCAACGAACGCCTCCTTCAAAGTAATCTACAGAGTCAAGAATAACATATCAAAGGCAATACGGTTTCGTCTCCTTTGCATCGCTGAAGCTCTGGCCATTCACATGGAAAAACCGGAGCTGTGCATACAAAAGAAGATTACTCAACCACTTCTACTCTCATGGTAACAATGTTTTGATTTGTTTTGAGCTTTTATTTTATTTTGATGACTTAATTTTGTTTCTTCGCCTGTTCCTTAATTGCTTATAATTCTTGTATTCACTTAAATCTCTTACATAGTTTCGTATTATCTACTTTGTTTCTATGTGCATCCTGAGTAAAACTCACTCATCAAACTATTCATATTATTATTGCATAACTTCTTTTAACAACTGTTTGTGACAACTCATCACCTTTGTTACTACCCTAGCACTTAATGGTCTTGACTTATATTACCAACCTTTACCTGTTTAGTTAAAATAACCTTAAGCAATTATAATTCTTGTATCCACTTAGATCTCTTACATAGTTTCGCATTATCTACTTTGTTTCTATGTGCATCCTGAGTAAAACTCACTATTATTATTACAACTGTTTGTGACAACTCATCATTTTTTTACTACCCTAGTTTCATTAGCACTTAATTTTCTTGACCTGTATTACCATCCTCCACTTGTTTAGTTAAAAGTAACCTTAACCAATTGTAACTTTGTTTGACAAACTTAATGTACACATACATACAAAACAATGCATATATATTTGCGATTGTACAGCTAAGAAAATGAATTCGCCGAAAAGAGACTCTTCGCTGATCTACGTGTTTTGTTTTCATTAATGCCTGGATGGGGATTATCCATGAATTGAAACGTAGCAAGGACCCCTCGACAGTCAAGGAACTCAATGGGTTTCTGCGGTACTCTGTCAAGCTTGCTGTGGGGAAAGCGAAAGTTGGCTTTTTCGAGGATTGCGTCTCCAATCATCAGTATCCAAAGTGGTTCTGGAAAGCACTGCGACGCAATCATATATATCCAAATACGAAGTCCCTTCAACGCCATGCAATGAATTGTGCTGATTCTATCAGATCACGTATGCCCGAACTGCAGCGGAATATCAATCAGAGGTCCTCTGCCTTATACGAATTGACTTCGGATGAACGTCAAAGATTCACCGAATATATCGACTTGGTTGCGAATAAACGGTCGCAGTCTGTCGTAACCCAGCTCAACAACAGCCTTAAGCAGATGAAACCTCAAGGCAAATTTCCTGACGAACCCACGAAGTTTGTGTTCAATTATTCCTCAGTACATTTAACCGACGTGCAACTGGAAGTCCTATCTCTGGGCCCTAAATTCTGCGATATAAATTTCAACTCCGACAAACTCCATACTCAGGTCCAGTTTGAAAATCTAATCAGCCAAACGCACGATCTCAGCCCAACTTCTGAAGACGAATTACAGAGATTCAAGTCAACAATCATGGACTGCTGCCACCAATACTTGAATTCAAAATCAAAAGTCCGCAACCACCTAACGAAGCGGCACCGAGAGGAATTAAAACAGCTGAGAGATAACAAAGATCTACTTATAACTCGACCCGACAAGGGTGCGGGTGTAGTGCTTCTGAATCGAAGAGACTACATCGAGAAAATGAACGATATACTGTCGAATGAAGACAAATTTTCCCAACCTTCCAATGAAAGAAACAAGACGGAACAGATTGAGAAGCAGCTCACAGATGTCTTGAAGAGAATGAAGGCTAGTCAACTAATCAGTGGGGATATCTACGATCAGATCCGGCCAACAGGTTCAATAATACCAAGACTTTATGGTCTACCAAAGGTACACAAGGTTGGTCTCCCACTTCGTCCAATTCTGGATATGTCAGGTTCCCCTTACCACTCTATTGCACAATGGCTAGCAGATATTCTGGAACCTGTAAGGAAGCAATTATGTACGTACTCGCTCCGTGACACCTTCCAGTTCATCGAGTGCATACAAGACACGAATGTATCTAACAAAATTATGCTGTCCTTCGACATCGAGTCACTTTTCACCAATGTCCCACTCACAGAAACGGTCTGCTTCATATGCAGATATATAGATGACAACCACCTCGATATTGGAATACCGACAACATACTTGAAAGAACTATTATTGAGATGCACTCTGAACGTACAGTTCACATTCAACGACACCATCTACAGACAAAAGGATGGTATTGCAATGGGATCTCCGTTGGGTCCACTACTATCAGATTGCTTCGTGGCAAGCCTCGAGAGAGGTTCACTAAAGCCAAGCATCGACAATTTGCGACTGTATAAAAGATACGTGGATGACATTTTCATTATTTGTGACAACAACAACGACCCCAATCTGCTGCTGAAGACATTTAACAATTGCCATCCAGCAATAAAATTCACTCTTGAAATGGAAAACGAGTCAAAAATTCCGTTTCTTGATGTGGAACTGACAAGAAGAGCTGATGGGAGCCTAAGAAGATCAATCCATAGAAAACCTACGTGGAATGGTCAACTAACAAGCTTCTATAGCTGGGTGCCCATTCAACAAAAGCGAAACTTAATTAAATCACTTGCTACCCGCATCCGACGCATCTGTAGTCCCGACGTTCTGGAAACAGAATTAGATATCCTGAGAGAAATATTCATCCAAAATGGATACCCAATAAGATTTATCGACAAAAATATGAAACCAATAATTCGGAAAAACGAAACTTTAACTGTGCCTAAAAAGAAAATCTACATGAATTTGGATTTCAAGGGAGATTTAGCAAGCGATATTCTCAAGAGAAGGATCACATCATCTCTGAGAAGAACGTTCTTTGCAGCAACGCTACGAATAGTGTTCTCCAGTCGCCCACTGATCTGCAGAAGCCTCAAGGACAAGATCCCGCATCTGGCCACTTCTATGTGCATATACCAGTTCACCTGCTGCTGTGGAGCCAGGTACATCGGTCGTTCGACGCGCATCCTGTCCAAGAGAATTCAAGAACATTATCCAGCATGGTTGCGAAAAGGCAATACTGGTGCAATAAGGAGTGCGATAATTGAACACCTGGTCAACACTGATCATTGCATTTCAACGAACGCCTCCTTCAAAGTAATCTACAGAGTCAAGAATAACATATCAAAGGCAATACGGTTTCGTCTCCTTTGCATCGCTGAAGCTCTGGCCATTCACATGGAAAAACCGGAGCTGTGCATACAAAAGAAGATTACTCAACCACTTCTACTCTCATGGTAACAATGTTTTGATTTGTTTTGAGCTTTTATTTTATTTTGATGACTTAATTTTGTTTCTTCGCCTGTTCCTTAATTGCTTATAATTCTTGTATTCACTTAAATCTCTTACATAGTTTCGTATTATCTAATTCCATATTAGTTTGATTATTAAATGTATCACACAGTGAAACAGTATTGTATACTGGATGACGTTTCGAACACAATTTATTGTTCATAATCATATCAATTTTTGTCACACGACTTCGAGATTTGATTTTTATAGTTTTCTCTGTCTTCTCCTATTTGTTGTATGGGCAGTAGAATTTTCCATATATCTGGGACAGGTGTTGAATCATTCCTATTACATGTATTTGCAGTT